TTTTGATTTGGAACGGTTTGAAATTGAAACCATTGGAAATTGAAATCGTTTTGATTTGGAACGGTCTGAAATTGAAACCATTGGAAATTGAAATCGTTTTGATATGGAACAGTTTGAAATTGAAATCGTTTTGATTTGGAACAGTTTGAAATTGAAATCGTTTTGATTTGGAACGGTTTGAAATTGAAACCATTGGAAATTGAAATCGTTTTGATTTGGAACAGTTTGAAAGTGAAACCATTGGAAATTAAAATCGTTTTGATTTGGAACAGTTTGAAATTGAAATCGTTTTGATTTGAAATGGTCTGAAATTGAAACCATTGGAAATTGAAATCGTTTTGATTTGGAACGGTTTGAAATTGAAACCATTGGAAATTGAAATCGTTTTGATTTGGAACGGTTTGAAATTGAAATCGTTTTGATTTGGAACGGTTTGAAAGTGAAACCATTGGAAATTGAAATCGTTTTGATTTGGAACGGTTTGAAATTGAAACCATTGGAAATTGAAATCGTTTTGATTTGGAACAGTTTGAAATTGAAATCGTTTTGATTTGGAGCGGTTTGAAATTGAAACCATTGGAAATTGAAATCGTTTTGATTTGGAACGGTTTGAAATTGAAATCGTTTTGATTTGGAACGGTTTGAAATTGAAACCATTGGAAATTGAAGTCGTTTTGATTTGGAACAGTTTGAAATTGAAAGCATTGGAAATTGAAATCGTTTTGATTTGGAACAGTTTGAAATTGAAATCGTTTTGATTTGGAATGGTCTGAAATTGAAACCATTGGAAATTGAAATCGTTTTGATTTGGAACGGTTTGAAATTGAAATCGTTTTGATTTGGAACGGTTTGAAATCGAAACCATTGGAAGTTGAAATCGTTTTGATTTGGAACGGTGTGAAATTCGAACCGTTGAGTTGGAGTGAAACGACTTTGGAGCCACCCGCTTCAAAATATTCCATCGATTCTAGAACCCGACGATCCGACATATCCCAAATGTCAGTGACCTGACGATCGTAAACTACGAGTAGCTATGGAAAATGGACCGTGGATGACCATGGATGATTTACCTGCTGAGCATGGTGATTTCATGAGATTTCGCAATCTTAGTTTACCATAGTTTACCAAGGGAAAGAAATCACGCATCCACGGCATCCACTGCCACCCGTTTGAGTAGCACACTGCAGCAGCGTCACAGACATCGCACTGGTAGAAACTGACATATGCCTCAGCAGAAAGGACCAGTCGCTACGACTTCGCCGCCAAAAACTTGGCCAATTTCCGAATGAAAATGATGATTACCCTCCGGTAAACGTTTACATAACTATGGAAAGATCCACCATTTTATAGCTGGGTAAATCAACCATTTCTATGGCCATGGCTTCCAGTTCGCAAACTGTAAACGTTTACCAGAGGGTAGGAGTTAATCTATCATCAATGGCCATTTCACCGATCCACTGGAGCTTTTTTTTAGTACTTTTTTCAAGCAGAAATTGGAGGTACCATCTGGTAAACGTTTACAGTTTGCGAACTGGAAAATGGCCCATAGAAATAGATGGTTTACCTATTAAAGATTGTGATTTTCTATAGCTATGTTGAATTACCAGAGGGTATATCAGATGGCTTCCGACTGCCTTGCCAAGGTCTCCTTGACAAATGGTGCAGAAGAGTACCTGATCAGCGCGCGATATACCCCACAAATGACCAGGTCAAAAAAGGGGTAATGTGATGATGAATCAATGAAAAGGGGTATCCTGTTTGCAAACAAACCCATATAGACATTTCCAGTACTGGAGACGAAACAAATAGTGTTTAATTTAAGTTTAATTGATTGAGGTGCATAATTTGTGGTGGTAGTACCTCTGTTACCTCTGTTCCGCAACAAATGCAACTAAGCCGGAAAAAGAAATTGACGTATCAGTATCATGAAGAAGTCCTGTATGTCCGATATTTGTATAGCCACTAAGCATCCACTAAGTGCATTGTGTCAAGTCAATTGCTTCTTTAAGCAATTCAACCAGGAGTCCAAGCACCCATGTCATTCGCAATGGGGTGACATCAAAACTTCTACGTCAATGTTCGAAAATTGCAGCACCTGACTGAAGTTAGACAGTACTTTCACGTTCAACCAGGGCATGTTTGCTGGTTCAAATGCGATTCAAAGGGAACAAAATGATGCGGATGTTAATGAGGACATTATGACCTGACCATCTGTGAACTCAGTGAGTGAGGTTACATGGCTAATGTCGCCCATGTTCCAGCAGAACATTATCTATACAGCACGGTGATTTGTCGCCTGATTGATAATTTTAACTACGGGGTATCGAAAAAATGATGAAATTGTTTTGGGTCAGATTGTGTATGTATGAAACCACCAAAAAAAATTGGTTAAGTGGTTATGCAAAAGTTATATATCCATGGTTTAGTGCCTATATAGTGCTCATATCCCAATTTATGGGGGATTAACATGGATTGACCATAAGATGTGCCTCTAACATCCTCTAACCCTCCATGATCCCGGATCCCTCCATATTTCCGTTGTCCCTTACACATCGTCTAAAGTCGCACTTCATCCACTTCGGCAGCTTCAGTCAGACTGCGGCGTGCAGTCAGTGATGGTCCCTCCGGTTTGTCCGTTGAGGTTTCCCCGAAAATAAAGGAAGATACGCCAAATCCAATGGTTGATCAGCGCATCGTGGTCATTTGCGGGGATGTTCCCTTTCTGTCTTAGACCAGAGAGGTAGTATGGGAGAGGAAAAAAAGTCAGAAACTGTAAGAAATGCTGAAAACAAGTAATCCATTGCCAGAAATCAACATCGAAAAGACTTCCCTAAACTGTTTCATCCCGGAAACCGTAAGTGGGTTTCCGAACCATATTATGTCGAAATCACCCAGTTATCTCAGTGATCCGTGGGATATACCTCAGTGAAATCTACCCTCTGCGAATTTAACGTAGAGAACTGGATTTCATCACCATCTTTCGGAGGTAATTCATCATAAATCCTCGAACTCAATGGATCATGTTCCAGTTCGCAAACTGAACAAAGTACCCTCTGGCAATGACTAACAGTTCGCTATTGAAGCCATGGCCATAATGTTTGTTTACCCCATTTATAGTTGGTTTGCCTATGAAATCTATTAAAGATGGTTGTTTTCCATAGTTTTTTGCATGTTTACCAGATGGTAATCCGATGGTCCCTGGCTCTGGCCACACCCCCGCTGCGGTGTCCCAAAATTTGCCCAGCCACCCGAGCATGCCATGGCAAATGGGACATTCGGCGTCCGACACTGCCTGCTTTTTCGGGCTGACAAAGTAGGGCGCTGTGGGAAGGATAACACACATAGATTCGGGATGATTTTTCGGGGGGTTATGGGCAGATATAATCCAACTTACAAGTGGGTGGTAGGTACCACCACCTTCCAGATACCTGTGGGGATCTAGTGGCTCACAAGATCTCAAGTGTGCCGGTCGAAGTGTCATTTGGTTATGGGTCAAAACCCTGGTACCCCACGTACCCAAAAATAGCTGTTTACTGAACGGTTCTTCACCCAAATATGTGAATAATAGGTTTTGAGCCATAGCCATTTCACACTCAACTGGTTCGCAGTGCTGGCAGCTCGGCTCAAAGTTGAACTTCTAGTGGTGATCAAACAAAAAAAATGCTGGAATGGCTGGGAGCTGCCATGACTTCAGTGGATTTTCTGGATCGGTTTTTGTCGGAAACAGAAATCCGGTACCGGTACCCCAACGTGGATAGCCCACCTTCCTGGGGAATAGCCTTGGATTCCCATGTCTCATTCAAGAGATCATATGGAAGTTTCTTAAAGTGGGAGGTACCCCCCTTTTTTATCATCCAATTGGGAGTCATTCTAATGGGGAATCCAATGGTTTGGGGTACCCCAAGTTTAAGAAACATGCATATAAATACTCTGTCAGAGTCTGTCACATGGGAATGGCATGATATATCATACCTAAAATCCGCTGGTCAACTAAATATGCCAAGACTTGAAATGAAAGGCCATTCAAGATCATTTAAGCGGTTCCAAACTGATATGAGTATTTTGGAACCAAAAGTGTGTGTTCCGGATTTGGGTATTGACGGTATTGATCCAATATAGCCACTTAAATTAGACTAATCCATGATCATCCATCGTAATTGCCAGCTGATGCCCTGAAGAAACGGTGATTTTCCCTATGTTCCCCATTATCTCCCCATGATCACCCCATCATATCCCATTAAACTATATAACTGATAGTATCTTATAGTATAGTAACCCAAAAAAATAAAAGATGCCGAAAAGTTTCAATTTATTACTATGTTAGAGTCGGACTTTAGGAACTTCTATCTTCTTGGGGGTTACCGTCACTATGGATCCAAATACTTCTTAAGAAGGTACAGCTGGATGCACACAATATACCCTCCGGCAATCAAACCTGGCTTGATGGACAATTCCCCATTACATGATTTTCCCAGCTATAAACATCCATTTGAAATAGGGCATGTTCATGTATTTTCTATCAGCCATCCACAAGTAACTTGATCATTCATCAGGATTTCATGGCCATCTATTATAGATATTGAAACTATATTATATCATTAACCATCTATCTATCTATCTATCTATCTCTCTCTCTCTCTATCATGGATTTCATGGATTTTCTAGTGGACGTCCGCCGCACGGCTCGGCACCTGGCGCCATCCCTTGGGTGGAAGGCCCGGAAACGGCGGATCCTAACGTCGCGAGACGTGTTATGATGGGATGATGGGATGGGATTGGATGGAATTCTCTGGTGGTTTTCCGGCGACTCGGTTTCGGGATGGTTTCGGTGGGTTTTAGCCGTTTACAGTAGGCTTTTGATTGGGTTGAGTTGTTTGTTTTTTTGTGCGATGCGGTTTGTTGGTTGTTTATGGTCATCCATCCCAAAAAATGGGAAACGACGAATTTTTTTGGTTAAATCCCCACGACAAATTTCGAAACTCTCTGAAGGATCCACCAACCATGGAGCTAGTGATGTAGCCGAGCTGGTCACACCAAAAACTATGGAAAGATCCACCATTGTTTAATGGGTAAATATTGGTAAATCAACTATTTCAACTGGACCATTTTCAATAGGATGGTTTTCGGATGTTGGATGGCACCACGTACTCAGTCGGGGGGAACTGGATGAAACTCGGCATTTTCGAGGCATTTTTCCATCCATCACAAGGTGCCCCAGGTCTTCAAGGGGTGTCAGACCGGCTGTCTTGGGTTTATGGCTTTGGACACATTGCACTCATGCTCCGAAAGGGTCAAGAAGTGGTTAGCTTCCTAGGTCTTTGTCCCAGTACCCCAAATCCAGACGCTTAATCATCATGATTTTACCCGATTGAACATTTGATGTAGATGTAGATACTTGGAGGAGTATACGGAATCTAGAAAAATTCTACAATACAACCCATACCTATGAAACGATAATAATTAATGGTGTATGCCCATTATAATTTCATGTTCCTCAATCATTGGTGAAATTCACTAAACTTGCAGACACAGCCAGCCAGGGTGATTCGATCAATTTCCCCAACCCACAGCCTGATCCTTGATGAATTCCAAGGTGGTTACTCCTTGGCATGATGGGGATCAGGCATCCGCGGGCAACAGGGAAGGTCTACAGAAACCGAAGCGCGGGCCGCAAACAGGGGAAGAAAACCAATGAATTTGTTGGGAACAAAAAGAGGGGAAGAAAAACAATGACGAAAAACCCAAAGGTGAAACCTCTGTGTTTTGTTGAGCAAGAAATGCCCCCAACTGCTCCCCACCTGCCAGGCAAAAGTAGGAGTGTTGCGCCTTCAGCCAGGGGTTCGAAGCAGACAACCCTTTGTCAAGGAGGGGATGTCAACCCTTTGCAAAGTCGAAAAAGACTAAGGATCTCCGTCAAGACTTGGTTTTGCATACCCTGGCATACCGAAAATGGATTGAAACCTTCTATTTCTACGTGCTCGTTGCCCATCTGATCTGAAAGTACCCTCTGTCACACTAGAACAAGCCAGTTGTGACAACCTGACTCCTCAAAATTGTCGGATTCATCTGAAAAGGAGACTAATCCACTAATCCCTTCCCCCTAATATTTTTCACACCCCAATATAAACCATGGTTTAGCAGACGATTTACACATCTTTGGACATATTTGGAACCATCGAGTGGGGGTACTTCCCATAGGATGGCATCAGAGGAGTGAAATCCCCACCAGCAGCGCGAAGAGGAAGAGCACTTCGATGTTGGACACCTCGGCCCAAAAGGGATGGTGAAGCTTGGATAGGCGCGGGGGTCACTAAAGCTGGTCAGCTTTCCGCAGTTTCTTTCATCCGCAAAAAATGAAGTCACAGTCACTATAGACATATATATATAATATGATATATATATATATATAATTTAATTTATATAATAATATCATTAAATTATTATATATATACTTGTATATACTTGTTACTTCTTGATGGTTATGATGGGTTGATGGATGAAACTACCCAATATATTGATAATCATGATAATCATCACCATCTAAAAATAGTGTCCAATATATTCCCAACCTTAATATGTTCATAATTACATGTTGGTTTCCCCCATTGAACTACCCAAAAAAAATGGGAAAGCTTCACCATCCACCTGAGGTCGGACCTGGCTTGAACCACTTACCCTCCGATGGAAAACATGAGTTACTCATCCCCCTATATCAAGCACCCCGCTAGATGCTTCCCAATGTGGATACAAATCCCCCTACTAAACGGATGTAAACGGTGGTGTTTACGGGTAGTGTTGAATATTCGGATGGGATTACCAACCAATACCAAGAGGAAGAGGAATCTTGGATTGGAACAAAATATCATGTGCTTTCATAAATCACTACCATCTGATTATTTAACATAGCGAACTGGAAAATCCCGGGAAAATGGAGGTTTAGTTCGCTGGGAAAATCCATGCTGTTTCTAGGGGCCATGGCTTCCAGTTCGCTATGTTAGTCATAACCAGAGGTTTCATCATGGCTTCCATAGCTACCCTCCGGTCATGGCTGGGCCCGCAAGCAACAGCCGCTGAGCCCATGATGATAAAGAACCTCAATAGGTCAGGTCATCCAAGGTCTAATTGGGATGAAATCTCTATTTAATATTTTACATTAAAATACATTAATATATCTATACATTTATATATACAGTATATATATTTATATTTATATCCAGGAAGTCAAGGACAATTTCGTGATTGTTCACATTCATCAAGCGCCCCAACAAAAGGGGCTGGGGCTAAGCCCCTATTGTTGGGGCCAACCGTCCGCAGAAAATATACCAATCATGGCCAACCTTTGACACTCTGGAAAATATCAAACTGGGCAGTTTGAAAAAAAGTTTGAAAAAAAAACTATATATTCATGACAAAAGATTGGTCTGTACTAAAGTACCACCGCTTGACCCAGAAAATTGAAGAAATTTGGATATGTGGAGGTTCCTGAAATACGGCTACCCCAAAATCATACATTTTTTCTAGGATTTTCCATGAAATAACCATCCATTTGGGGTACCCCAATTTATGGAAGCCGCCAAAAAATTAAGCGCGGCCTCAATATGCGTTTGGAATTATAGTGGTTGCGATATCCAGTGGCTGTCAACCCAAAATGCCTCAACGGAGAGGTGTCGTCCTGAAGCAAACAGAACAGAAATCTCGCTGGGCTAGATAAGCTAAGCATCAACAGAATGATTCCAAACCTCCAAACCTCCGGGGACAAATAAGGAGAACCATCCCCAAGTCATCCCCTTTTTCATGGGTGCTATCAACCATCCCATTTATGGTAGGTTGGTATGGCATCGGGTTTTCCACATCCAGAAAAATTCCGCCATCCAAGGCGCGCAGTAGGATGGTAGTCGTGCAAGTTATGCCTGCCGCATGCGACGAGCAGCAAGAAACCATGGTTTATCATCACTTTCCCAATGAAATATGAATAGGAGAGTATACACCCCATGTTCAGATAGGATCCAAGTAAACATTAGCAAAATTATACGTAGTGTTTACATGTGTTTACATGTGGTTACATGTGTTTACATATCTGCTGCAGGTGATGATGGGTTCAGTTGATTGATCATAGGCTCATAGGGTCAACATTAAGATATCATCAAGATGAATTTTCAGATTCGCTGTGGTGGCTGCATCAAACGTGGCTTAATGGAGAAAACCCCTTGTTCAACAGGGAGTTTTGGAGGGTTTATACGACCCATTTCTTGTGAAATTGGGATGGTTTTTCCTTGTTGGGCTTACCACATACCACATTTCCCAACAGGCCAAGGCCAGGTAAATCATGAGGTAACTCTGCGCTAAAATTTATTGTGGATACAACACAGAATGAACATCCAATTCTGAGAGACTCCAGTGACATATCCACCTTGTGAATGATACCGGTAATATATACTGTGTATATATATATATATATGGTAAGACTTATTGAACATCCAATTGTGAGTGACTCTCTTCAACCGGACCACATGAGGATTCCATATAAACCTTCGAGTGTCCCAGGATGCTTCCCACGTCCCCGGTAGATTCGTAGACTTATTTGGGGATGGGGATGGAAAGAAAGAGGATGTTGTACAACCATGTTTGGCAGTCACAATTAATCCTAATCGTATTTACCACGTAATTATAATTTATGAACACACACAAATATATATATATATATATATATTATCTATATATATATATATGCATTCATATATATATGCGTTCATATTTATATCACACTATATCACAATATTTATCACTAGATTACCTCATATATATATATGATATCACTAGTTTTGTTTTATTGTGGTGTGAAAACCCAAAGACTCACTCTATTGACCCATAGATGCAACAAGTCGCAGCTGCAAGGTCACCTTAACCATCCATTGGGCTACCTCCAGCCTAGGAAAACCTCCATATGTTTTTTCGTTGACCCAAAAATCTCATATATATATATCCACATATGTATATATATATATATGTCTAAATATATCCATATATATAAATATATATCCATATACATTCCCATGATTTACCATTATAGTCATCAACCATGAAATTCACCATTATTCACCACAAAAAAACATGGTATTTGTTCGCCATATACCAGCTCCACCATTGCCACAGCCCTCTGTCCAGCCACCTCAAGGGCTCCACCAGCGCGTGAACACTGGCGAAGCCGCAGATCACCACCAGGGCCAGTAGAAACGCCTCGGGCTCCAGGTGAGTTGGAAGTGTCGACATGGAGAATATATGGTTGATATATGGTTAATATCTATATATATATATGAATGTATAGATGTATAGATGGTTAAATTTCATCCATATTTATGTTTCTAATTGATGTATTGTCGATGGTCGACATGGATAATGTATGGTTATTATATGTTGATATGTATAGACTAGATGTATATGTCTATGGTTAATATTCATCCAATTGATAATTAAGATGTATATGGTTCATATTGATCTATATGGTTCATATTGTTAATACATTATTATTAATGTATTGTCGATGATCGACATTTGGTGGGGTGAATATTCATGTATACATGTATATATGCGTATGTAAGTAATGTGGGTAAAACAATAATAAATGATCCCCCAAATCATCATTTTTATAGGTGGTATGGTTACCATTCCCAAATGGGTGGTTTATGACATGGTTTTACCCCCACTATATATTCCCATGGTATCACCATTTTTCATAGTAAAATTCAGTAATAAAATCACCATTTCCCACTATATTCCGATGATATTCCCACGTTATATGGTTGGTTGGTGGTTTCAACCCCGGTGAAAAATATGATGAAAGTCAGTTGAGATAATTATTCCCAATTTATGGAAAAATAAAAAAATGTTCCAAGCCACCAACCACGTGATTTATATCAGTTAATTCAATAATCCGTCTATGGTTAATAGTGTGACGTTTCCCTCCCCAAGAAGATGGCGAATGGCTTTTTTTTCTCTTCAC